CCGGTTCTAGTTCGGATGCCTTGTGGCCGGGAATTTTGGCCATGTCCACGAACGCGGAATTCTTCACCGCGCTGGGGCTTCAGAGTTGTGGCCACTCCCATGCGTGCTTTGCTTCACTGCGGTGTTGCTGAGGACATCGAAGCAGCTTCCGGAAAGAACTACCTCACGGCTGCACGTGTTCATCCTGCAAGTCAACGGTCGACGGCGCAATCAAGCTTGGGCAGAATAAGTTCCTGACAACGCGAAAAAGAAGGATACAGGGCCTCGCAAATTGCGAAGCATGCAGGGTCCGCCAAATTGTGACGGATGCAGGGTCCAGAACAACCAAAAAACACCACAGGCCCCAGGTTTTAGTGTATCTCACATGTGCCTGACATTCTCGTCCAGAAATTGTGAAGGATACAGGGCCCGGCAAATTGTGAAGGATACAGGGTCCGCCAGATTGTGATGGATACGCCCGCCCCCGTCAGAGCAAAGATCGTCGGGTTTAAAGGTATGACAAACGGATGTATGTGTATACATACATAGATACATACGTACGTATGTAGGTGTGTATGTATGTATGTGTATAGACATATGTGTATATCTATGCCTATTTTACGGTTCGTTTTGGGGTATCCACTAAAGTACCTCGCTCATAGCAAGCGTAGCCAGCGCCGCGATAAGGTCACAGCGTCCCCTATAGTGACATTTTAAAGCCCCAAACCCATAAGCCGCCGGTGCCCGAGGCCTTAGGACCTAGGCCTTGCACTTTGGAGCACCTGCAGGTGTTCCGCTCGTTGGCCTCCTTGCTGCCCCCCGAAAAGGCACCGCGCCTGGTTCAGGGTGTAATACACCAACACTGAGTGTTGGCACACCCTGCACGATGTGGCCCAGTGAACCCTGCTCGTATTTGTCATTATAGACTATAGACAAGATCCCGATACCGCCAATCTGGGGTCGTAGATCCTGAGACTAAACACTGAACCTGAAACCGTACTGCGGGTGGAAATACTGTCTTTTACTCCTGTAACAGATCCTCAAGACCTCAACCGTAAGCACCCGAAACCCCAAACCCTGCACCCCAAGATCGATTTCAAAACCTTGAGCTCTTTGTCTACAAGCGTTTACGTATCAACGCCTGAGGGGAAGGTCTACATTTTTTTCTGGCGTGCGCTCTTTCGAAAACCGTTTTGTGCTACGCGTTGGATCTTCGTAAAACTCATCAAGCCCTCATGCGACGTTGTCAGCCCTAAATCTTGCGGTGAACAGAACCCCTCTTCAACCCTTATGGAGCGCTTGATATTAAACCTTTTTCCATTCGATACCTCGATTGAAGGTCTAGCGGGTGAGATGACGTTGCATTCCTATATCTTCACCTTAAACCTAAACCGTCATCCCCAAATATTTTCCAAACCGCTACAACCCAAACCCCTAGTTTCACGCTTCAGCCCTAAAAACCCGTACCTAAATCCCGAAACCAAGCCCCTGATGAAGCCCCTCCTCCCTGAACCTTGAGGTGCAGGTCTGCGGCGGGTGCTTTTTTGCTAATAAGGAATGAAAAGCCAAAAGTCAGCTCTCAACATTATACCCGGAATGAAGCCCTCAATCTGCGCATGTTCAGACCTAGACTTACTTTAAGTATAATTCTTAAACCCGAGGGCCTAAAGATCAGGTACATGTTACTAAACTAAACCCTAAACCCCCAAACCCTGAACCTTAACCCTAAACCCTAAACCCCCCGAACCCTGAGGTGAAGGTCTACGGCGGGTGCGGGGAGAGGCATCCCTGCGGCCGCTCTGTGTTTCAGAACACGGATTGCCTCGCTGAGCACCTCGATCTTACAGATTGGTTTTCTTGGAAAAAGAAGAAAACATAACAATGATAGTAAGAATAAGGATAATAATCCTAGTACTAATAACAATAACAATAAGAATAATGATAACAATAATGAAAATGAAAATGAAAATGATACTGATGAGAAGAACAACCACGTAGTCCATAATGGCTTTATAATTCGGGATTTTGGATTGGTTTTGTGCAGTTTGATAGAGCTTCATCGGGTTTTGTAAGGAAATGGACGGTGCAAGGATTTCGCAGGGGCCTGTTCGTAGCTTGGGGTTCCTGGCTTCTGGCGGTCGGAGGTACCCTCAACCCAGAATCTGTACGAAAGGTTCAGGGTTGAGGGTTTATGAGTGGCAGTAGGAGCCACCAAGCCCCTGAACCCAAAACTTCCTAAACACAACCCTAAACCTCTGCAGAGGAGAAGGTGCCTAAAAAACACAACCCTAAACCCTTAGCATTGCATTATGGGCCTTGCAGTTTTCTAGAGCAATCTCAGAACCCTTTTCTAATTCTTGCTTCGCAAGAGTTTTGGGAAGCCCAATGAAACCCCAAACCCTGAACCCAAGCCTAATATAGAGGCCGAAATAGTTACCAATTTTGTTGTTGGGGTTCCTTACTATAGTTATGACATAAAGGAGCCCAAAACCCTAGTCTATTTATGAAGGCCCCTACAGTAGACCCTGAGGGGTCCAAGCATTCGAAAAGTTTTCGCGGAGGACTTCCCTCCCGTCAGCTTTCGAGAGCCCTGAAAGACAGAATAAGGCTTCGCACAAACACACGCTTTAAAGGGGGGTTTATAGGCTTCGCTGTAGGGGGATTGATGCGTAGAAGAGGGTTTCAGCGTACATTCTAGTAGAACCACTTACCCAAAACAGAGACTAGAAGGTGGTATTCAGTCAATGTATGCAGACCTCCGTATTATACTATTCAGAGCCATCTTTAGAGCTATCCTCAGGTAAAATCCTAAACCCTAGAAGCTGCCCGCACCCTGTAATAGTGGTATAATAGGAATATAATAGGGCCCTACTATAATCCTTATAGTCACTATTACAGGGTGGGGGCAGCTTCTAACCTAAACTAAAATCCCCAAATTTTGACTTCGGTCTTCGCTATCGCAAGTACTGCCAGGAGTAGTCTTGGTATCGCCTTTCTTCGCAATTGTCATTGTCTGGTATGACGGTCCGTGCAAGGAAGCCCTAAACCCCAAACCTAGACAAGAAGCTTTAAAAGACCAAGCCCAAACTGAAAACCCTAATCCCCCAAACCCCCCAAACCCTCGAATCCCACGTCCTGAACCCAGCCTTCAAAGACAGCCTTCAGTCCAAGCCCTTCTGACAGGGCCTAGGGTTTAGGGTTTGGCTGGTACGGTATGGTAAGATGAAGAGGAAGATCCCTTAATGAGTGTTCCTATAAAGTATCCTTAGTAGTATAGGGCCGCAAATGAGGGTGTCTACTTTCTAGATCCTCCCGGGGGTCTGGGTAATCGCGACCCAAAGCATGTCAGGGTTGCCCAGCCGTACAAGTTCTATGCCTCCTTTGAGAACAACCGCTGTGACGGCGTCTTGCCATTCCGAGCTTGTCTGTTTCTCCCAAAGTCGTAAGGTCTACGCCGCATTGTCTTCGGGTTTAGGATAATTTGGTTGAGGGTCAAGGGCCTGCTTTGTTGTTTGGGTTCTCCGGCTTAGACAGCTGGCACCTAGACGCTCTGTCTGGCTAAGACAGTCGAGTTTAACTCATATGAAGGATCCTTCTCTATAATCTGTGAAGTTATAATGCTCAATAAAGCAGTACAGTATAGTTTCCATCATCTGAAGGATTGAGGGCTTAGCGTCCTGATTTATCACCAACGAAAACCTGCTATCTATAGTACAATATTGATCGACCTCATTATATTCCATAATTAAGGAAAACTCCGTAAATCATACTAGGGGTCCTGCTATAATTTAAAGGGATGTTCCTGAATTACGGGATATTGGAGTCTCTGGGTAGTAGGATCCCGGAGCGGTCCCACATCAGTCTCACCGAATGGTAAGGGCCATTTTCGTTGATCGACGGTCTAGGGTTTTGGGTTTAGGGTTTGATCTTGAGGATGCAAAATATTGTTGCAGATACCTTGAATTCCTCATGCTGGGGAGCCTATGAAGCTGTCAGAAGATGTGTCATCAAGCCACTGCAAAGCAACCCTGTAAAAAGCTTATGAAACACCCCCCTCCTGGAACCTTTGCAAGGCCGAGTCAGGCCAAAATACAGCGTCAGCCCTAATCTCCAGAAGCTAAATAAATATTAAACCCGCCCTATACCGTAAACCCGGCAGGTTAAACCAGAAAAGCAGAAACCCCATAACACCGCAATTAAACTCAAAAGCAAAGCAAGCCTACACCCTAAACCCTAAACCCTAAACCCTAAGCCCTAAACCCAAGAGCCCTAAACCCTGAACCCTAAACCCTCCGGACCCTGCCCTGAATCCTAAAAGCCTCAACCCTAAGCCCTAAAACCTAAAACCTTGACTTCTAAAACCCTGAACGTTATAAACCTTGAAAAGGCACCACCATAAATCAGAAAAAGGAAACCCTCTATCTAACTTAAAGAAGGAAACCCAGTAAACCCTAAACCCCAAACCCTATAAGCCCTAAACCCCAAACTCCCGCACCCTATAAACCTTAAACCCTGAACCCTAAACCCTTAAACCCTAATCTGAAAACCGTAAACCCTAAACCCCGAACCCGATAAACCACATAATGAGAGCCCCAAACTCCCAAACCCTACAACTCCTAAGCCCCAAGCCCAAAACCCTATAAACAAACCCTAAACCCCAAGCCCTCTAAACCTTACAGACAGCCTCTCTAAAACCCTGAACCCTATAAACCCTATAAACCCTATAAACCCTATAAACCCTATAAACCCTATAAACCCTATAAACCCTATAAACCCTATAAACCCTAAACCCCAAGCTCTCTATACCTTAAAGACAGACTCTACCCTAAACCCTAAGCCCTAAGCCCTAAACCCTAAGCCCTAAGCCCTAAACCCTAAGCCCTAAGCCCTAAACCCTAAGCCCTAAGCCCTAAACCCTAAGCCCTAAACCCTAAACCCTAAACCCTAAACCCTAAACCCTAAGCCCCGAGCCCTCTAAACCTTAAAGCAAAGGATACATCACGGAGAAGCTGTGGACCGCCATGCGCTACGGGATGGTGCCCATCGCCTGGGGCCTAGCTTTAAGGAGCCCTAAACCCCTGTAGATCCCTTAAAGGAACCCTTACATAGTACCCTATAGATCCCTTTAAGGGACCCTTATATAGTACCCTTATAGATCCCTTAAAGGAACCCTTAAAGGAACCTAAAGCCCATCGCCTGGGGCCTAGGGGCGGTTTTTTTGGAGTTTGGGGCCTCGGGGTCTGGGAGTTGAGGGTTTAGGGTCTAGGAGTTGCGGGTTTAGGGTCTATAGGGGTTCAGGGTTTAGGGTCTAGGAGTTGAGGGTTTTGGGTCTAGGGGTTTGGAGTTTAGGGTTCAGGGTCTAGGAGTTTAGAGTTCAGGGCTTTGGGTTCAGAAGTTAGCTCAAACTGGGGCTTAGGGCTTCGGGTTTAGGAGTTTAGAGTGTAAGGTGTAGCAGTACTTATAGGCCCTCGTCAGCGTTTAGGGTCGGTCCTGTCGGTCCCTTTAATACTGCTTTATAGCGTGTCAACAGTTTCAATGAGGGTCTTACAGCGGCTTTCTATACATTGCGATACAGGGCTTCATACCCTTACCAGTAGATCGGACAACCCGTTCAGAACCTAAAAACCTGCCCCCAGGAAGGAGTCGCTGAAAGGAATTCCTTCATCAACGGAACCATGGGAGCCCCTTCAGGGAGCCCTTAAAGGAACCCTTCAAGGAACCTTCCCAGAGACTCCAATATCCCTTAATTAAGGAATATTCCTTAAATCATATCAGGGATCCTACTATAATTTAAGGAATATTCCTTAATTAAGGAATATTGGAGTCTCTGGGTTGAAAGAAGCCCTGAAAGGATTGAAAGAGGCCTAGACCCTAAACCCTCAACGGAGCCTGTTGGGTGTCAACGGAGAACGGAGGTCTGGGGTGGTCGCAGCCGGGAGGATTACGAGAAGCTGATACCGAAGGGCTGCCGAGCTACTACAGGGCCTATAGGGGCTTAGGATTTATTGTGGGTTTGGGGTTTCGATGCAGGGATCATTTTATAGGGGTTTAGGGTTCAGGGTTTATTGTGGGTTTGGGGTTTCGATGCAGGGATCATTTTATAGGGGTTTGGTGTTCAGGGTTTATTGTGGGTTTGGGGTTTCGATGCAGGGATCATTTTATAGGGGTTTAGGGTTCAGGGTTTATTGTGGGTTTGGGGTTTCGATGCAGGGGTCATTCTATACGGGTTTAGGGTATAGCTGCTAGTGGCTCTGGAGTTTGGGTTGAGAGTCTCCCAGCAGAGCCCTGTTCGCTTCTGAATGTGAAGGGCTCCCTGCAGCAGTCAACTTTGTTGTGTTTAGGTTTCATAAGGTGCCTGTAGGTTTCAGGATTATCAATGAACGGGCTCGCGCTGTTATTGCATTTCAAAGAGTGCAAATGAAGAGTGTACCTGTATCATGGAACATGGTATTGCGGAGCAAGGGTTGTAGTGACTTTCGTGTATTGCAGGCCTGAAATCTGTAGGGGGTATCAAAGCCCGAAACCCTGAATCCTAAATGTCTCTGTGTGCTAGGATGCCCAGTAGAACCCTTATTCCCTTTTTGTAGTCCTAGGTTCCTCATAAAGTTACCCAATACCAAAAAGAGAGGCCTTTTTATTCTTAGGTTACTTGGTATCCTAGTGTGTGTGTGTGTGTGTGTGTGTGTGTCCAACTCTGTTTCCAAGAGATGTGAGTGAGTGAAGCAGCAGGGGGGCAGTGAGCCTTCTATCATCCACTGCCCAACGAAGACGGTGATAGAAGTGCTGTGAAGCAATCTGGGACGCCAGATTGTGTACCTGCATTGAAATGGCACGGGGGCCAAGCCACAAACCCCTTTCCGAGCTGTGTTTGAGTGAGGGCTTGCATTGGTCAGTTTCTTGCTCAGTTCCTGTTCAAGAGTTTGCCTGTGAATGCGACAGTCATGAGTGAGGGTCTGCACATGTCAGTCTTACATGAGTGATTCGTGTTTGTCCTATGGTAGTACTTCAGATTGCATGTTCTGACTTTCTCGTGCAGCCTCTGACTTTCCCTGACAGCTGCTGACTTTCCCTGACAGTATGCACCGACAGATCAGACCTGCGACACGATGTGTCAAGTGTGCTTCACAACGGCATTCCCTATGGGCGCCGTGTCTCCCAGAGGTAGCTCTGGCGCTGACTTTCCCGATTGACTGTATAAGCATTGGATGACTTTCCCTGATTCTATATCCGTGCTTGCAAGCTGACTTTCTCAGTGAGTCTTTACCAAATGCCTTTACCGAAACCTGAATGCTGACTTTCCCACTGACTTTCTATGATCTGATTGACTTTCCCGAATCTGACTTCACCGCTGACTTGTCGCAGGTCTTCGGCTACAAGTTGAGTACATGAGCTGTACTTTTGGGTAGTTGCTGATCAGTTTGCCATGGATGCCTCAGGAAAGAGACGCGGTACCCGCACATCAATTCCCCCCCCTCCTCCCCCACCTCTCCCTCCACCCTCCTCCTCCCCCCTTCCCCTTTGCCCCCCCCTCCCCTCCCCACTTCTGCCCCTCCCCCCTCCCGTGGCACCACGCCGAAGTGGATTCCACCCCCCCCTCCCCTTCCCCCTCCCGCCTTCCCTCCCCCACCCCCCACTCCTGCAGTTTGCCCGACGCCTGCTCCATCTTCTTCTTTGCCGATCCCTTCTGCATCCAATGTTGGTTTGGGAACAGCAGATGTAGCTCCTACCTTGATTGCTGCACGTGCTGTAAATGATCGGCCTGTTCCACAGCAAGAGGTTCCACCAGCAATCACTCTTCATGCAGATGGCGCAGGTTTCCGTTTGTCGTTTCGTTCGGTGGCCGATTTTGCTGAATACTCAGCAATCATGTCGGCAAACTTGACACATGTCCGAGGCCACAGAGATGTGTATGCTGGCCTTAACAATTTGCTCGACATTCAGCAGACTGTTGTTTCTCAACAGAATCGGTCAACAGCATCTGGTCAGAGCCAGCAGTCAGCCCTCACATATCAAACGGATGACTCATCCCAGCCCTCAAAGCGACTTCGGCAAGTCCATGGAAGCGGAGTTTCTCTTGTCGCAGATCCTAACAGCATTCGACTTCGTGCAATTTGTGATCAGATTCCTGGTAGTCATGCAGATCGTGTAGGGTGGCAGCTCAGTGCGGACCAGACTTACGTCTTTCGAGTTAAACCCTTGCAAGATTCGTACGAGCATTTTGAGAATCGATCTCTTCTCAAAGGGCATGTGGAAGTTGAGTGGGAGCAAGATTCAAACTTCTTCGTGATTCCTGAACTTCGTGGGTTGGAGGTGCGTGATGAAGAAGCGAAGCTGATACAAGTGTACTCAGCCAGCTTCAATTGGGTCGCATTATACCCCATGTTTACTGCTCTACGTCACTTGATCAGTTCCAGCCCTGGCCGTATGAAATCGGCATGTGAGATTTCGAGAAAGATACAGGCCAATCTTGAGTTGCAGGTCCCCAGCTCTTTGATGCAAAGCACTGCGGACTATCTGATGAGCCTGTTAGGTCTTCCTTCCCAGTCTGTCAACTCGACGGCATTGAAGTATGTCTCTCAGGCAATTGCTGCAGCCGACCAAGCTGCAAACATTCACTCTGTTGAGCTTCGTTCTTTGTCGAGTTCGTGCAAGTGCTTGAGCATCCACTTCACCCACTTTGAGAGGACCATGGTCAGGTCGCATACTTCTGCAGCAGGGATTGCTCGTTCGCCTGTTGCACACAACACAACAGTGGCCGGGGCTGCCTCTATCCTCCTTGAAGGAACGATTCGACCATCGTATTGGGATGCTCGTGACAGCATGTGGTCCCCACCAGTTTCCTTCTATGCTAGGGCTCATACTTCAGATGCAGAACAAGCACAAGAGGCAGCGTCCAAGTACGGTGGCATTCTGAGTGAGCGTCCGGTGTGCATTTTCGGATCTGCATTTAATCGTCAAGGGTCCCTCACGCCTCCCCATTCAAGGATCCCCATGGGAGGAGTTGAGGGTGACCATTCCTGCAGTTACATTCGTGACGTTGCCCGTGCCAAAGATGGCAGATGGGTCTTTCGCTCCTCATGTTTCATCCCGGAAGCGCTTCTTGTCTTTTGGAAGGTCTGAGTGCAGTATGCTGCTTTGACCAGCCACGTTCTCAAGTCTCTTCCGTTGTCAATTGCTATGTACGCATACACGTGTCGAAAACATGCCAGTTACGGTTGTGAGATGTGCCAGCAAGAGATATGCAAGTGTGCTGCAAGTGAAGTGTCAGCGGTAGTGCAAGGGTGTGCGTCAGAGGTGCAAGAGAGGAGCAAGTGTGGTGCAAGAGCTGTGCAAGCGATGTGCAAGTGCTGCAGTTTGAGAACAACTTGAGCAGGTTTGTTCAACTACGGAGCTCTTTGATTCGAAGTGTCCTTAGCGATCCCGTGGACTTAGCGTTGTCGCTAGTTCTGAAACCATGGCATGGAATGGACAGTGGGACACCAACACAGGGTACGGGAGATCCCAACAATCGTGGGGTCAGCATCGCTATCAGCCGTATAGCTCGGGAAGTTGGAATGATCCCAACCTCTCCAATTCTGCTCCTGCTAGTCAGCCACCTCCCCTACCTCCGCCTCCACTTTCTTCGGCACCTTCATCATCGCCGTCTACTCCCACGCCACTTCATCAAGGTCCTGGTCTTGCTCCTGCACTACCGAATGGATGGGCGTCAGATCGTGATCATTATGACTCAACGGTGCTTCATGGGTTGTCTTTTCGTAAGTACATCGAAGCCACCCCGTGGTCGCGAAAGAAAGGGATCGCAGGAAAAGATCCACTCAGCATTCCTGTTCAGGAATTCCTGTTCCATGGAGTTTCAGATTGGCGTCTTCGAGCATTAAGTCATGGCAAGTTTTTCAGTGTTGTGCCAGTTGCTACAGTTGCTGAAGCAGTGTTCATGTCGCAAGTGACGAAGAACCTTCGGGATTGCAAAGTTGACATCGATGCAGTTGCTACGCAACTTTTTCAGGCCGCTAATCCATCTACAATCATTCCCAACAAGAACACAGATTGTGCAGTCCTGTTTCAGCCGCTGGTTGACAAGATCGTTCAGCTCATGTTTGACAACATGCCGGTGCCCACAGGCGTTGACCAATCTCAGAAGTTCCTTCAAGTTTCGGAAGAGCTCAATCGCCGTCGTGAACAGTTGCAAGCCGCAGGACTTCCTGTTACCCCTACGAAATCCGCTTCGAAAACACAGCTCCCGGTTGCTTCGCAATCTAGTGCTCCTTGTCTACAATCTGGGACACCACCGAAGACTTGGGAGAGTGACCTCAAGAGTAAGATCGACAGTGTTCCTGCTGAAGCCTTGAACGATCACAAAGCCCGACTAAAGGGATCAGGAGAGGGGGACGTCGACAAGTGGATCCAGAGTTTCAAACGACCCCTAGGCAAGCGTTTTGCAGAATTTCAAGAGCACATTGCGTCTGTCTCCAAGCTTGTGCAGATCAACTATGGAGGCAAGGAGAAAGCCAAACTGCAAGAACTTGCAGTCAAATTCGGGATCTCGGCGACCTTTGCATCTAGGATGGGCATCAAGAGTCTTTCTACGTGCATTGCAGCGGCAGCTTTTCAAGTTGTCTGAATTGCGCACAGCCTTGCTTCCAAACAATTCTCCGCAAAGGAGATTCGGTCAGCACATGTTCTTATTACAGAGATTGGCAAGTTCATGTCGTTTGTGCTTCAATTCATTCCGCATGTGGACAAAGTGATGGCCATTTGGTTGCAAGGTTTTTGTCATCTGATTCTACTGTGCCATTACTCCAGGGGTACTTCGCCAGAGCAACGGCTGCTTGAAAAATTGCACAAAGCTGGAGTTACGCCGTCTGAGTACACGTTCACACGGTTTCAGAGTCCTTGTGCAGTTTATTTGAAAGCTCCCGTGTCTTGGAGTACGCGTTCATCGTTCAAGCAAAGAGACCGATGGA